ATTTAACACCCTGATTCATTAAATAAAATATTTGAACATAAAATCCTAAATTGATAAAACTTTATTTTCTTAAAAGAATTACATATACTATTGATGTCATATTAAAAAAACATAAAAAATCATGAGTTTTGATATATTTTCCATAAAAAAAGGATAGATAAATAAAAAAGTTATATAATTTTAAAACAATTTGGAGATTTTATTTTAGTTTGGCCCCAGCATCAGGCATCAGCTATTCTTGTGCTCTTGCGGCTGTAACGCTTGTACCCTTTCTCCTCCCTCTTGCGGTGAATCAAGGTAGCAGCATGCCCCCATCACCACATGGCCCCATGGGTGTTCCTGTTCACCAAGACCTTTTAATACAAAAAAAAAATGGGTGGGTTGCGGCAACATTTCGGATGAAAATCTCAAATTTGGGGTTTTCACCCCTACCTTTGGGGACAGCCTTATTGGGCCAACTGATGGTGTGTAATGATGTTCTTTGCTGATTAAAGGGGTATTCCCGTGGTGACCATGATTGGGTTGACTATATATACCCCTAATCACCTTGTCCATTTCTAGATGATAAAGTAGCTGAGGACCAAGAATCCTTTCTAGGTTATACTTTGGTTTAGGAAGGTTGGAGTGTTTTAGGACCAATGTTTAGATTCTCCTTGGGATAAAAAACTTACCTTCCTAAACGTTTAACGGAGATGTCCTAAACCCTTGAGAACCATCAGTGAGAAACAAGTGCGCTGCAAGGGCAGTCAGTTGGGATCCGCCAGGGACACTCCATTCTAGGCACGTCCGCCCTTGCCGGCCATCGGTCCATGGAGGGCAATCCTAACTACCATACAGTCTAATTCTTCGCGGTTCGACTGCACCAGCAAGGGTTGTCGAGTCAGAGCTGAGGGATACTCTGCCGGCGGGCGGCGGTATACAGAGAAGGCATATCGTAAATATATTTTAAAGGGAAAAGTGTATTGCATTAATAAAAGTTCATTAGCAAAGGTGTATTGATTAATATCGAAGATGGCTATTCATATTGAAACCCTATATCATACAACTGGGTGTATGTACACCCGGCCCAACTAAGGAAGACAACCCAACAATCAGTACAAGCTATTTTTTTCGGTGGCAATTTTGTAATTTTAGCGAAAAATCGCGACTTCCGCTAAATGAGCAATAGTGTAAATTTAGTGAGCATCTGACCTATTTTATTGAGTATTAGGAGACTAACAATGAGTTTCGCGATATTTGCTTCATATATTCTAATTTTCTTTCCTTTTCTTCTTTTTTCTTTTATAAAAACTTATTAAATTATATCTATAATCCACCCTTATTAATTTCAATATGCTAGTCTAATATAATACTACCTCCGTCCCATTTTATGTGTCTTAATTTGACTTGACACAGTTATTAATTAAGTGGTTGAAAAAATAAAAGTTGTGGTTGGGATTTGAATATAATAAAGTGAAATGATGTAGACCACATATTTCTTTCCAAAAAAGGAAAGAAGACGCTTATTTTAGGACAACGGACAACCCAAAAAGGAAAGTAGGACAGGTAAAATGAGACGGAGGTAACGAGTATGATACTTTTGAAATATGCATTGATATGACATTGTAAATATGAGCTTTACATCAGTACAAAATGAGCATACATAACTACAACGTGTACATTGATATGAAAATCGTAAGGTTTTGTTAGTTGAACATCACGTCATTTTAATTGAGCATCAAACATCCGCTATTGAGATGAAAACCGCAGTTTCTTGTGAATGAGCATTAATGAACTTTTAATGAGCATCCAATCTATTATGTTGAGTATTAGGAGTCTAATATATGAGCATAAGATCGGTATCAGATGAACATACGTAACTAACAAAATGAGCACTAATGAATTTGTTAGTTGGTCTGTTAGTTGAAAATCACGATATTTTCATTGAGCATCAAACCTCATCTATTGAGATGGAAATAATGGTTTCTGTTAAATGAACATAAAACGCATTTCTAATGTGAATCTAATGTAGTATGATGTGTTTGAAGTGTGCAGCCTTTTAAAGTGAGTATAAAACAGTACCAAATGAGCATACATAACTTACAAAACGAGTATAAAAAATTTAAAAACGCATTTTTGTGTGCTCATTCATTTTGGACGTTATACTCATTTGAAGTTAACACTAAACTCATTTCTATTGTGCTCAATATGTGCTCAATATTCATTTGTGTATTGATGTGACATTTTAAAATGAGTATAAAACGAATATTAAATGAGCATACGCAACTTACAAAATGGAATATAGTAAAATAAAACATTAATATCTAAAATATTTTAATTGAATAAAAATTAAAGTAAAAGAAAACGAAAGGAAAAGAAAGAAGGATAAGTAAAGAAATAATTACATAAATATGACCAAAATAAAGATGATTTACAAAAGTATGATTAGTGACTAGAGTAGTAATGAAATCATAGTAATTCATGTTCAAGTTTTGAACTTTAGTTACCACAACACTACATTGTAGTAATCAATAGTTATATGTATGTAAATATGTTTTATTTTAGTTATATTCTTGTAAAAAACCCGTAAGTAAAAGTAAGAAAAGAACAAATGAAAAGACAACAAAAAAGAAACGAGTGGTGGCCGAAGAGGCGACGAGGTGAAACGAAGGAGCAGGCTCAGATGCGCGGCTCAGATGCGCGGCTCAGATGCGGACAGTTTGCTACAGTTTGGTCCTTCCTCTGGTGGCGGAATGAATTAGCGAAGCTCAGATGCGGACTTCATGCCTGGGAGAAGGTAAGAGGAACAACTAATTGCAAAAATACCCGGTTGTACGATGAGGACCGTACAACCGGGTGTACGGTATATTTTACCATTCATATTAGTCATAAATATTACTACCTCTGTCCCAAATTTATTTGCAAATTTGACTATTCTTGGTCAAACAGTGTCGTTTTGTTCACTTAATTAGGATGTCAATTTCTGATTATATTCTCATTTGAAGTTTACAACTTTGAAGAGATTTTAATGTAGTTTATGAATATGTAAATTTTAATTATCAAAAACTGAATTAACTATTCATAAGGAGGATTGACTTATATTATTAGTTGACCAAAAAATGTTGACTTTGAAAAACAAATTGGGACAGAGGGAGTAAATGCATTCAATACACGTACACGTGAAAGTGAAAGTGTGAAACTGTGTACGGAGTGATGATCGGAAGTGTTGGCGCATTAAATGCACCAACATTTATGACAGATTATTGATCAAGATGATCACATTAATTTTAAAATCAATATCATTTTTTTTTGAATTGCAAAATATTATAAAAGAAAGTAATTAAGAAACTTTCAATATTTTATTTGTTTTCTGTCTAGATGGCAAACATATTACATTTTGGCTATGTTCGGTGGCGGATTTCAGCCCCAAGTGAGCTGAATTTTTCAAACTTGAGCTGATTAATGATTATTGAAAAAGAATTCTTGTTTGAAGAGAGGGTTGCACTAAGCTTAAATTGAAATATATGGACTAAATCATAACGTTAAACATTCAAGCGTTTCCTTCCAATCAATATATGAATTCCCAATTTATCCCTATATGATTGTACCTTCTACCAATATATTCTACAATCTACTTTAACCCAATAATTGTTATATTCTCAACCGAACTAATATGAGATATTACCCGAAATAGGATTAAAAAGGTTTGAAAATTCCAAAATAGGACTGTCATGTTTTTATTCCCAAAATAGGACTAATTACCGTCAAGTTTTGGCAGTACCAGACTTCTAACATGGCAGTATTTTCCAAACATGACAGTAATTACTCCTATTTTGGGAATAAAAAACCTGGCAGTCCTATTTTGGAATTTTTAAACTGTTTTAGTCATATTTTGGGAATTTTCCCAACTAATATTTGCACATTAGTATTTGAATAGACACACACTATAATGCCATTAGTATTTAAATTAATAATCGACCATTTTAGTTTTTTTTTTTTTGAATTGGTTAGTTGTGCTGTTCATGGGCTATTTCTTTGTACTCCTTAATTAGTACTTAGTATTAATGTAATTTCTCTCATATAAAATATAAATTTATAAACGTACGGAGTATAAAGCTATTACATTTATACACACACATACATATATAAACGTACGGATTATGTACTAAATTTTTAAAAGACTGAATATAAAATTCATTATTATAAATATTTTATTCTATTAATAAATCATATGGCTTTAACGTAATTTCACATTACCCCAACATTTTTTCAGCTTTTTTTGCCAAACAGGTTTACGCCATTTAATTGGCGATTCAGATCTAGGAATTCGAAGTTCAGTTCCAGACAATTGTCTCTGGTTCAGACTATAGTGTCTAATTTAGACATTAATCTTCAGCTTCATCTCGTTGTGCCAAACATGGTTTTTCTATGTTGTGAATAAGTGACTTTTCAGGTTGCAAGACGATAGTTTTGGATGGTGATAAATGATGGTGGTACTCATTATGGGCCGACGGCAGTGACCGTCTCGCTAAAAGGTGACAACGATGCAATCGGCAGTCGTGTGGGATATAGGGTTTCAGAAAAGTTTTAAACTTTTTTATTTTTAATTATAAATAATAAATAAACTTTGAATTAATTCTAACAAAAATTGTAACCGTGATGGATTGAACTTTCTTTAGTTGTTATATGATCAATAAGAAAGAAAATTACAAAAACATCAAGATAAAGAAGTTTACCCCATATATGTACTTGGTATCATATAAGTTGCACTCTGACACTGGGTATCACTACAAAAAACACGGGATTGACAGAGATTTTTGTCAGGAATTTTCCAAAATTGGCAGGGATGTGCCAAATTTGTGCCAAAAACAGTTGACACGAACTATTTGGCACGAAAATATTGGTAAATCTATGTCAAATCCGTGTTAATTCCGTAATTTTTTTTGTAGTATAAAAAAATGATTCACGATTTTTTTTTTTTTTGTAGTATAAAAAACATGCGAGTTTCTGACTAGATTGTATTAAAATGTTCTCAAAAGCAAATAAATTAGGAGGTGAGTGATTACATTTATGCTATTAGGAGTGGTGGGAAACACAAACACATTAATAATACGACTTTAAATTACTAGCATTGACCCGGAGCGAAACCTATGTCGTTGTTGTCTAGGTCGAAACTGACCCGCATCCCCTGCTGCTGCAGGTTCCCGATTATTGTAGTGGACGCCGCCACCGCAAAGGCGAAGCAAAACGTTCCCGACGAGTCCACCGGTACCAGAATATTCTCCGGCGGCAAAGTCAACACATTATCATTTGAGAAGTGGAACGACAACGTTGTCACGTTCGCACTTTTGTTGTCCTTCAAATCGAAACACGTGTTGAATGGGGGCACGCTCCACCTTGAGGTATTGCCCATCAATCGGATGAATTCATTCTCGACCGCCGTGTACAGATCTCTTGGAAATCTGGTCATCGCCGTTCCCGAGTCAACGATGGCTTGACCGCCGGAACCCGGCAGGGCGGAGATCACACCCCCGCCGCCGACGCTAATCCCGGCCAGTCCAACGTAATAGAAATTGGGCGTCGGTGGATTGCTGAGTAAAGGGGCAAAGACGGATCCCGCGGGGGCATCCGAGTTGAAGTCCAGAGTTGACTTGGATTTAGAGTCCTGGTCAACGAGGCAGTAGGAGAAAGAGGAGGCGTTCATCTGGGAACTCAGAGACACCGCGCCACGGCTGAGGCCGACCAATGCGCCGGCTCCGGCCCACATACCCCAGGCTACATCTGCCGAGCCGATCACGATGCCGTCAACGGAAGAACCGCCGGAAAATGTTACTTTTTCCGGCGCAAGTACACCGGAGGCTGTCGATCCATCACCGTATTTCAAATTGAAAGTGCACTTGTTGTTGTTGTTGCAGGATTGACACAGTGGGGCATTGCACGCGAGCTCATGGTATGTAGGCAATTTCGACGGGTCGAAAACGGTTTTGCTGACCCAGCAAACATCGCTTCCGGTGTCCATTATCATGTTAATCTGTTGCGGCGGGTCACCAATTCCAAGACTAACGAAGTATTCGCCCACACCTGAATTTGACGAGAATGTAACGGGTGCGTCTTGATCTGCATCTGTTTCAACCGCCGGGTCAAGGCGTGCCCGAAGCGATTTCATTCGGGCCGAGTCTCGCGCGAGTCTAGCAGCCATAAGCGACTTGTAGTCTCTCGCCCTGGTTGGCCTAACTGACAACCGGGGACGCAATGTAAATGAGTATGATCTTTCAGATGAAGAAGAGGAAGAATGAGATCTATGATCATCATCTTTAAGAGAATCCTCTACTTCCCGAGAACCGGGAGAAAAGACGTCGAGCGTTTTGCGTATTGAAGCCTGGACGTCGAACAAAGACGACGTCGTCTTTGTTTTTCCGTTGGGGGTGATCATGGCCCGTGAAAGTACGGCTAGAGAAGCAAGAAGAAGGGGTAAAAGCGAAAGGAGCTTATAAGAGACAATCGCCATTGATGACGTTCTGCTTTTGGGAGGTGAAAAATGATGAATGAAGCTATTGCATAGACGGACAATGGCCGGGCGCGCAGTTTGCGGCTTCAGTTGGCAAGAACACGAATACGACCAGTGTGTGAATATATATAGCCATGCCGGCTACAAAGTGGTTCCTAATTATGATTTTATTACAGCCTTTTGACTATAATGCAAACTAATCAAATGCATATCCCTCCTTGAATTACTTACCACTAAATCGTTATCGTGTTTAATAAAAATAAATTAGATTTGAAAATGACCTACATACAACCGACACGGATACGCGGAAATGAACGCGGGGAACATGAAAACAGGTACGAGTACACGACAATATGAAAAAAGTAGGATACAAATATGGGGATATATTTATAAATATTAAAAGTAAAGGGTCAAATGGGCCCTTGTACCTGTTTGTAATGCTCAATTTGCTCCCTGAACTAAAAAATTTCAATTGATACCCTGAACTGGATAAAAAGTTTCAAATTTCACAATTTGCAGGTAACCATTTGGTCGGGCCACATCATCAGGTCATGTGTAAACTGTGCATATCAGGTGTCAACTCATGGGGTCAAATAAGCCCTTGAACCGAACCAAATTGTTCAAATAAAAAAAAGTACTAAACATTCGGTCTTGCAAACCATACAAACCTATATTAGTGGTTCAGTTTGTTGAGTGGTGGGAAAGTTGAATATTCACTAAAGATAAAAAAATAGCAGTGGCCGTGTGAAAGTTACAACTTTTTTGTGATAGGTTGGACCTCGGATGCGCATGGATATAAGGTTTGTCATCCATAGGTTGATTGTAAAACCTCTCAAATGCCTTGTGGGATTGAGACTTAAGGGCCTTTGGGATTGGGGATTAAATCTTTTGAAATATTGCACACCATACAAAATCGGGACATATGGACAAATCATAATACATTTTTAAGAAAATATATTCATAATTTTAAGTTTTCTAAAATAACACCGTACCCGTCGTCCCCAAAAAGGAATTTTGACCGTTTTTGGTCTTTCATTAACATTAAATAAAATATCAAATTCTATTTTGAGAATTTACATAACATATCATTTAGTCAAGGAAAGTTCCCGAAACAGGATTAAAACCGTTTTTGAAAATTTCAAAATAGGAATGTCATGTTTTATATTCTCAAAATATGAATAATTACTGACAAGTTTGGAAAATACTATCATATTTGAAGTCTGGTACTGTCAAAACACGACGGTAATTAGTCTTATTATGGAAATAAAAACATGACAGTCCTATTTTTGAAATTTTCAAACCTTTTTACTCCTATTTCCGATAATATTCTCTTTAGTCAATCTTAATTATTGCTAAACTTAGTCCTCTTAGTTTAAAAAATACAACTTAATCCTCTATGTCTGATAAGAGACTGAAGCGATTTTCGGTTGTTCTGAGTTTGTTGATGTGGTAATGTGTATGGTGACTTTCAGGGTCAAGAAGAACTCTATGTTGCTCGTTTGGTGGTCAACGATTCGCGTTGCTTCAGCCCCTGATAAAAAACACTTAGGAGGTGTTTACTTCGCTGCTAAAGTCACAGTTAGGTTAGTAAGACAAGTGAAGTAAACATGCACGCTGCTTAAAAAGTTGCTTACCAACCGAAAGAGTCGTTTACTAAAGTGCCATTTACTAAGCATGACACACCCAATGTATTAACTAAGCGGCACTTTAAACTTTTTCTGTTTCCGAATTGACCCTTACTCTTACCACTTGCTCTTACCTCCACACCTCCATCCTCGTACCTTACCCCTTACCATACCCCACCCCTACCACACTTACCTCGGCCTCACCCCGATCCCAATTCCCACCCTACCGCCATCCTACCGCCACCCCTTACCACGTCGACCCACCCTACCCCGCCCTCGTACCCCTTACCACTACCCTACCTCATGCCTACATCGGCCCCACCCCGATCCCGACCCCACGATACCGACATCCTACCCCACCCCTTACCCCGACCCCACTCATGTCCACCATCCCCACCCCTTACCCCTAACCACCACCATACCCCAAAGGGTACCACTTGCCCCTATCTCGGCACCACCCCGATCCCAACCCCACCCTACTGCCATCCCACCCGGCATACCCCAGCTCTAACCCCTACCCTACCCCGACCCCCACCCTACCCCGACCCCCACCCTACCCCCACCCTTACCAATTTCCCCCTACCTCGGCCCCACCCTACCGCTGACGTGCACTTGTCGTGTGTGCACTCAAAATAATATTCAATACTAACACTTATACATAGTATAGGTGAAGTAGAGTTCGTATCCACAGGGAAAGGAATAATTATCTTTCTACATAAACAAGTAAATAAAGGGGGGGTTTTGGGATTGAGTGATTTAATTAAATTAAACACGAAGATGAACGAGTTATATGTGATTTAATTCAAAGATAAAAGGACTTGGCATTGCTACTTTCCACTTGTTGATATATTTTAGTCGATCATTGTTATATCTATAACTTATTCCCTCTTGAATACTCAATCGATGAGTATATCCAATTCATCGAGGAAAGTTATTAACAACGACCGTTCATTAATAACCCTTACTATTAGTCAAGTATAGAACAACGCCATATACCGACTTGATAGTAGCATTTAATCTCTTCACTCCTTGATGAAATCAATTGAGATCGATAACCTCAACACAACGGTTTCGGTTTAACCAACAAAGTTAATCCCTCTTAAGTTTATTAACCACGACCGTGCATTAATAAACCGAAGTTACTTACTTGTGAAACCATCAACGATTAACCATCGGTTCGTTGATCGTTTCTAGTAATAATTAATATATGAAACAAAACTAGTTGATCCCTTAAGTAATGTTCAAAATATTAATATGAAATATGAATAGGAATTAATTAATACTCAAGGAAGAATATTAAAGAAAATGAATCCTACTATAGTTAATATCAAGATGTTAACTAATTGTCATCTTAGTAACACTCCCCAATATTAACATAGAGGAAGGAATAGCTATTACTAAGACCAATGTCAAGATGTTAACTAATTGTCATCTTAGCAACACTCCCCAACATTGATATAGAAATAGTATTTCAAGGAAGAATTAATATTCAAGGAAAGAAGTTAAGAAAATAACTCACAACTTTAATAATCAACAAGCTTCAAGAGTAACACCAAGAAATGGAAGTTTAGCTCCTCATTTGGAGACTAAACATGCTATAAAAATATAAAAGAAATACTATTCTAAAATGAGCTTAAGAGTATGGAAGAAGGGATTGATTATTTGTGAAGGAAAAGTGTGCTATTTATAGGTGTTTTTTTAACACCTTGGGCCGGGTACCCTGACCGGGTCAAGTGCCCACCCGACCGGGTGCATGTCAAAATCAAATAATCTTCCACGTTCTTGTGTTTCAGCACGTCGTTTTGTCTCGGGTCACATCTGACCCAACCGGGTGAAATACCTCACCTGAACACTTGCTCATGGATATTTGTTCTACTATAAACTATTTTTGGGCTTGCATGCCCATGTTGTTGGCCGGTTGTGGCTTATGACTTACCGTTGAATATTTCCGCCATTCATTGGTTTTAAATGTGATGTTGTTATGTATGTTTACTACTGAGTATGGATGGATTATATTCTCGGACGCCTTGTGTAATTAAGTGAGGCTGACTCGCGGGTGACGTCACTTGATTATACGGCAGTTGTACACGCGCCTGGATTGTGGTCTGGGGCGTGACAATTAAGTGGTAAAACCTCACCCGACCGGGTGATTGTCCTGGGCATCCAATAATCATTTTTCTTCACTTCAAAGTGTTCCTTTCCAACAACATAAATCCTAACTCTAATTTACAACTTACAAATGAGAACTAAAATACAATTACAACTAAAAACACACAAATGTTTACAAACTAAATAAAATGGTAAACAATCCACACAAATCAAGCATAAAAAGATACATTTATGCACTACTAATTAGTGCATATCAACCGCCATCGTACCTCCCACCCTATCCCACCCCGACCATAGCCCCACTCCCACTTCGCCCGTACCTTCCCTACCCCGACTCCAACCCCTACCCCTTATCCCTTACAACCTTCCCCTAGTCGACCCCACCCTACCCCATCACACTCACCCCTACCCCTACCCTTTAACCATTCAACCATAGCCCCACCTCGTACCCTTTACCTTACCCCGACCCTACCCCGACCTCGACCTCACCCCCCTACAAGTGTGGGGTGGGGTTAGGGTAGGGTAAGCGGTTGCGGGTTGGGGTAAGGAGTTAAGGATAGGGAGTAGGGTGGGGTCGGGGTTAGGGTGGGGGCCGTGCTAGGGGGTAAAGGGGTAAGTAGGGTAAAGGGGTACGAGGGTAGTGGTCGAGGGTAGGGTAGGGGTTACAGGTGGAGGGTGGGGGTGGGTAGGCAGGGGGTAGGATGACGCAGGGGTGGGGTTGGGTGGGGCCCGATGTTGGGGCATGTGGTTGGGGGTAAAGGGTCGGGGTAGGGTAAAGTGATACGGGTGGGTAGGGGTGGTAGGAGTTAAGGTAGGAGTGAGATAGTAGTGGTAAAGTACTACTACTACTACCACTACTACTACCACCACCACCACTACTACTACTATTACTACCACCACCACAACTACCACGACCATGACTACTACTGCTACTACCACTACCACTACCACGACTATGACTACCACTACCATGACTACGACGATTACCGCTACTACCACTACTACGACTAGCACTACTACTACTAGGTGGTAAAGGTGGGGGGCGTGGTAGGGGGGTAAAGGTGTAGGGTCGGGGCAGGGGTAAAGGGGTACGATGGTAGGGTAATGGTCGGGGGTATGGTGGGGTGGGTAGGGGTAGTTGTTAGGGGGTATGGGGTGGGTTGATGGGAGTAGGGGTAGAAAGGGTAAGGTCGTGGTAAGGGTAGAGGTCAAGGGTGTGGAATTGGGGGTAGGGTGTAGGGCAGGGGTTAGGTACGGGGTATTAGGGCGGGTAGGGGGTATGAGTACACGTACGAGGTGACCGCACATATTTTATTATATACTTGTGTTCATGAATGTTTG